GTAAGGCCGTTTGTGCAACTTGTGCAATTTAGATAATATATAGACTATCAACTTAATTGATAATCATCACGTCCTGCATTACAGTAATTAATTCATTTTAGAGTGTTACTATATGAAACCATATTGTTAAAAAAAGATTCACTAGCATATGATATTGCTTTTTTTTATAGTGGAAAAATACGCTAAAATTAGGAAAAATACTACGATAAATCGGTTCAAATAAAGCGATAACATTCTGCAATATGGTGAAGCATGTATTGAAATGCCGTGGAAGGAGACGTACCGAATCTCTGCCTCCATAAATGCTTTGATATTATACGCTGCCCCAGAGTTTGGGTAGTTTCTTGAATTTCTTCGCAAATCTCGACGCCAGTTTGCCAAATTGTTTCTTAACATACAAACCCATTTTTAATATAACAATACAATGAGTTAAATTATTTTTAGAAATGTAGCCTACACATACCTAAATTATTAAGAAGTTTACTTTTTCCTGGTGGATCAAATTTTTGCAGTTGTTCTACACTGATCACCTTATACTGCTTTAATTCTTGCAATAATTCATAGCTACAACAACGAGTTCGATTGTTTGCTACAATATAACTGCCAGGAGCACTATGTTTTGTGATCTCTTTTAAAGCTTCTTTAACCATGTTGCATTTGTCAACATCTCCATGTGATTTATCTATCTTCATAGACTAAAGTTAAAGGTATTATCAGAAAAGAAGAAAAAAATTGCAGTAATAATATTATAGGTAAGAGCAAAACCTCTGGAAGAGCTTCAATCATATGGAGCCACATTCTAGTTGGTATTGTATTTGCTTCTGCTATGCAGACTATTGTATGAGAATTATTGTTGCGTTTCTTAGCAGTAGTTATATCAGAAGGGTTCTCAGTCATGTAGCCATTAGGAAATTCATCCACAATTAATATTGCACTTTGACCTCCTAAAACCCAATCCTCTGGATGACTTACTACATAATTTTGAGAGACCTCATCACACCTCTCATATACTTTCTTAACTACATGTTTCTTTATTTCTGAAAATAAATTATATTTAAAATTATGCAATCCATAATCTGTAAATAGTTCAATATAGCTTCCATAATGTGTACCTAAATAATTGGCAGTGAGTTCACTTGGTATCATTTGACACCATCCTAATATCAGTTGAAGGCACATTTTCAGGTCACATTTCACTCCAAAGAAAAAGGAATTTTCTCTAATAGATTGTTTTCTTGTACAATTAGGGCAAGACCAACTATATTTATCTACAATTCTTGCTTGATTCCAAGCTAAACTCCTTCCTTTGCACTCAGGATGTGGACAGGTGGAAACAGTCCTAATCAAACTCATTTCCTTTAACCATCCACATAATTCTCCTTCATGTCCTTGTTGCAACATTGGTCTTACCACAACATCAAAATATCCTCCTTGATCTCCAAATCGCTCCATACACTGTCTAAAAATAAAAAATGAAGAAACAAATATTTCGAAAAATATTTAGCATTTGTCATATTTATAAATATTAAAAAATCAGTTTCCATGAAATAAACGATCTAAAAAGAATTACATAACATTGAAAAAAAATAAAAAAGCAACACGTTTGATGGCACGTGAATGAATAAATCGCAGCGACTACTGTGCCCCGAGTGGGGAAGAAAAATCAATACTCTCCTAGGTTAAGTATAAATTTATTATTCCTGATATTATAAAAAACCATCGATGAAATATTAATGAATCAATCAGTAAGAGTCGTTCATTGACCATAAAGGAACGTGTATATTATTACAAAAGGAAAAACAATCATTATTAAAATGATTTCGAGTAGCAGAAGCAACAAGTATAATTAACTCGAACCCATTAGAACGTGAAGCTCCAATTACCTCGCTTTGACTTTCGCGTTCTTCATCTTCGATCCAAAAGTCACGCTGTACGAACACTCTACAACGTTAAAGGAACAAACAAACGTCTATAACATTTTTAAACAAACTAAAAGTTAAACAAAAATAAGGAAATCAACGAGGAACCAGAAAAGACCACGGAGGGAGCAACTTCGATGTTACGCAGCCATCGTATAGCGACTTGTACACTGAAGGCATGCACTATGTCATAATGCATTTCTTACTCAGTCGATAAAAAAGAAGTGAAATTAAATTATCGTTTATTTTTATAATTCATTATCAAAAATTATTCTATTATTTATTAATACAGTAAATATTTATTATTTTTACCATTGAACCTTGAATTTTCACAATAAAAAATAAATAAGTCTTTTTCGATTAAATACCTTGTATTTCTTTTTTATTATGAACATGTTTTACAAAGCAAAATTGTGTAATGGTGGAAATGGTGGATGTTGGTGGAGGCTGAAAACTACGGAATTAGTGTTGGTGGGGACAATTTAACAAGATCTCCAAGAAAAGTGAGTGTGGGTAGAGGGGCATCGGCACAGTAATATAAAAAGTACTCTTCAAGAGACAGCATGAGGATTTAGGCCGGCACATTCATTCACCATGTTTCTAAATACACACAAGTACACTGCACTTTCATATGTATGCATATTTTTAAACAACGAATACATGATTCGTGTTCTTTTTCTTAAAGATTATAATAATTACCCCACCTGTTTTTATATCCATTACTCAATCTGTGCTTTATTTTCTCGAAAAATCTAGCGTAATATAAGAACCGACCAATTTTTTTTTGTACACTTATGTCACAATTATATTTTTGTTCGATACACTTTGTTATTAAAATAGAAATTAAACATTTTTCACGCCTGCACATTTTGCTACCTTCGTTTCGATATCAAACAAAAAAATAACGTACTTTTTTTGTTTTTTTATTTCTTATTTTTTATTTCGAATCCCAATATCAACATTTTATAAATGTTATGACCTTGACACTTGAAATAAACAAGTCTAATTTTAATCGTCGTGCGCGTTATAAAAATTCAAGCGAGATAACGAAGGTAACACGAAAAAGCCGCCTAAAAATTAGTTTACATCATTTCGTTATACACAAGCAGTCTCCAAAATGCATGATACCCTACCAGGAAAAAAATTAATTATATTAAAATGCCGCTACGTCATTGTGTATTGGTTTAGCGTGAAAATGACAAAATCAATATCATGATAAAATTTCATTCGTTTA